AAACACTATATAAATGAATCTGGATTGATATCAGAAAATAAAGGCTATATATACTGTATATGAAAATAATATATGACATATAGAGCCCGACCGATAAAGGATTTTGAAGGCCGATACCGATACAAATATTTTTGGGTTTTAAAATCCGATATATCGGCCGATATTTTTTATTATTATTAAATATTGTTGGATTTCACACACGTGTAAAAGAAAAGCTAACTTTTCTGCACAAGATACGTTTGATACTTTTTCTCTATGTCTAAATGTTCACTCCTCGCAAGTCTAACTTACATTTCACAATGCAGGGACTGTAACTAGAGATATGCTAGTTATAAATACAGTAATCATTACTTTATTTAGGCAGAAAAAGTTCAGTGTGGTTTCCAAGCTCATTAATGTTAACGTTAGCGGTCTTCCACTGATGATAGTGGCATTAGCTAGCTTTGTGGTTAGCTAGCCATAACTTAGCAATAGATAACATCATACTGCAAATTGTAAAACATACATTTTCAATATAACAGGCCAAGGAGAGATGATTAATGCGTGTTTCGTCCGTTTTTATTTTATTTTTTAAATATTCATTTATCAGCCATTATAACTGCTGATACCGATATTTTAGAAAATACCTAATATCGGCCGGCCGATATATCGCTCTGGCTCTAATGACATAGGAAAGTGATAAAATAAATAAATGTACAGTATATTCACAAACATGAAAATTGTTTATTTTCCTTTATTATATTTTATTACATTAAGCATTTTTAGTATAATATAATATATTCTATAGAATAACTATAGAAAATAAATATAATATTATTTTAATATTAATATGATTTTTTTTCTGATATGTCAAGCTTTTCTTTGTATGAAAGGTAAACTATACAAAAATGTAATATTAATACACTTAGAAAAATATTTTATTGTTATTATTATTTTCTATCAGCACTATTGTTTTTGTTGTTTTTCCCGTCAGCGCTCTGTTGGCCGTTCTCCAGCGCGAGTGAGTATGGAGCTGTTCTCAGGGGGCTTATGGGGTGGATGGGGGTGTTTGGGTTAACTGGCCGCTCTGAGCCCGTCAGCTGACACTGGACTAACACAGATACAATGTCATCATGATCTGGCATTTCACAAGCTATGAACTTGATGTTTTGACAGAAAGGCACACAAAAACACTGCCAAGTGATATAACATGCAACTACTGTAACTTTAACCCCAGTTTCTCAACGTCCCTTTGCTTTGGCCCGAGGCCAGTGCCGTTCACCTCGTGTTGTGTGGGCTCAGGGCAAAAACAAACTCACTACGCCAATAGAGCAATGCAATAAAGTCAAATGTTGATTGCCGCCTGTGTTGATAGTAGTATTCAAGCAGAGCCGTGAATAAATCATCCAAAATGAATGCTTATCTTTACTCTTGCTTAACCAATACTGTAATTGTAATGGAATGGCATTCCTGTGATTAAATATGATCTTGTCTTATACTGTAGTTTTCCTGAATTATGGCATCTCACAGTAGAGCCGCTGACATAATTCCTGCTTCATCAAGGCCAAACTCAGCATTGCGACTAAGAACCAAATTTCACATGATTGAAGTTTTGGATAAAGGCTTTTATCAAACAACATGGAAAAAACATACTCTCAATGCAAACCAAATTACTCATGGGGTCATTGACCTGCTGGAAGCCCTTTATCCCGAGTTAAGAAACGGGCAACAGTCCATAGAGAACTAGAAGTTTCTACAGAAACAAGACACTGAATTCTGTCAATTCTGTTCACTTATATTATAATACAGCAAACAAAAACATCCAGTGATAAAATAGGGATGCAAAAATATAAATTAATCAAAATTGGCCGTTTTAAAATATTCCATTTCAAATGAACATTATATTCATCAAAGATTCCTCATAAAGTCCCAGTTTCCACAAAAAAAAAAGAAATATATTATATTACAATGCATATTAAAATGATTTCTGAAGGATTTCTGAAGGAGTAATAAAATAAATTTGACTATATATTCATATAGAAAACACTTGTAAAAATATTTCACAATATATTACTGTTTTTATTTTATCAAATAAATGTAGCCTTGGTGAAACAGAACTGACTTAGAACCAGAACTAACCAACGATATCATCAGGACAACACAATTGTTCACACATATGAATGAAACTGCTTTAACCTGTAGAAACCCCACACACACACAAACCAACCTATATCAGCTTTCTTCTTATCATTTATGAGGCTTTACTGTACAACAGCAATTTGGACGTTTTCTAATCTTTAAAAGGTCATTCACTTCAAGACAGCTTTACTCGAGGTATAAACATGGAGTATAATCGCAGTTACGAGATCACCATTGTCAAAAGATGTCATGCTTATACTTGAATTCATCTGTAAGCTTTGTTTCCCGGGGAATACCTGTAATACTTTCTGGGATACTACTTTCTAAACCATGTCGAGACTGAAAATCTGACGAGACAGACCTATACTCCGAGGAACAAAATATTAAAGAGTAAAAGGAAAATAACTAATATTGTATTAAAACTAAGAGTTGCATTATATTTCACAAAATGACAAGTAAAAGCACATGTGCCAAATGATCTCACACACTAGTTTGGATATAAAATATCTGATCCACCCACCTGAGAACATGTATTCAACACTCTCAGAAAAAAGGTACAAAAGCTCTCACAGGAGCAGTAGCTTTTTAAAAGGTATACTTTTGTTCCTTTTATGAAGTAATATACACATTTAAGGTACCAATATGGTACAAAAGTGTAGTTTTTGAAAAGGTACCGCCACAGTGACAGTTTTTGTACCTTTTTTCTGAGCGTGAATAGAGCAAAGTGAACATTATAAAGTTGATGCCTCCATCTAGTGTCTGTTTAGAAGTAGTGCAACGGTGGAGATTTTTTAAAAATCCACTTTATGAACATAAAGTGTTTTTTGTAGCATTACTTTACCTTAAAGGCGTGGTAAAGTATGATTTCACTTTTCTAACTGTAGTTAGTGTGTAATGTTGCTGTTTGAGCATAAACAACATTATCAAATTTACAACACTCAAAGTTCAAAACAAAGGAAGATATTTGCTTTTAAAGAAAAGGACTACAACAGACGGCTGGTAGGAACTACACGAGCTTCCTCCCGGGTTAGTGACATCACCAATAAAATTTACATAAACACGCCGTCCATGTTGAGAAGAGGAAAAGTGGTTGTGTAAGAGTACATTTGTGAGTCAGCTCAAACTTTAGCATCCATCTTTTCACATACATACAATAGAAAGTCACTCTGTGTGCATCTCACAACAGTTCATACGAGCGATTCAGAGAACATGAACCCTGGTTATATAAAAGCAGAGCCGGCTTCAGACCGCGTTTAGCAGGGGGGATTAAACACAAAACAAATAAAAAAAAACACCCACAACGTACACAGATATTATTCTACAATTTCTATTTTCAAGCAAATATAGGCTTAAAACAACTGTTTCTCCACGGCGGGAGTGACATTTCAGGACAATGGGCAGCGAAAAAAATAGGCCAACTAAACTAAACTATTAGTCTCATCGCAACATAACGTGACAACACAACATAGCCTAGTGAACTTTTACAGTACATGCCAGTTAGATAAATACACTAACAACCGGCCAGCATGAAAGTTTAAATTTAACTTACAGCTAGAAGAGCTGATTGGAACTTCCTGAGAACAGCGTCCTCCATGCACCACAACACTTTTTTGATCGTGGAGAACCATAGATATATACACTAGACCTCACCTGGGGGTTCTAAGCATGCGTCAAAACCGCCGCCATCTTGGAACAGGGTCTTGTCAAAGGAAGTAGCTAGGTAACGCTGCTATCTCTGCCTTTACTTCGAATTCATTGATGGTGGCGGACTTTTGTGCAGCGTATGATGTTCACGGATGAAATCTGAACTAGGAAGAGTGTTTAAAAAAAAAAAAATTCTTTCTGGAATCACTGATACATGTCTGACCATTGGAACAAACCAAAAAAACAAGAAAAATCGCATTCATGATGATTTATGGTGATTTTATTTGCGTTAGACCTGTCTACTGCATTGACGCTGATGCATTAAAGTGGAGGGGCTCCCCTGTTTCAAGATGGCGGCTCTATTGACGCATTCGTTCTAATGAACTGCCGTATCCAAGGTGATGTCTATGATGTCTATGGTGGAGAACGTATTTTCGCAGATCAGGGTAGAAGCACCAAATAATAGCCTACCAAAGCCGGGCTGTCGTTGTCTTGCTGTATGGCGTCAGCAGAATCGTTAATCGATGTGTAAAGAGAAACTGCATGTGGTAGATGTCCATTTTGGAGAGTTTTCATCTGTTTGCTTTGTTTTGAATGCAGCCAGGAATCTCTCGCAGTCGCAAAATCATTTCATTCATGTATTAACCTGCGTGATTGGCTATGTGATCCTCACGCCACACTGTGGTTTTTATGTTGGCTTTGTTGTATTTTCAGCTAATGAGCTGTTTGTATACATATATTTGGATTATTTCTCACTGAAATGTGAATTAAATTAAACTTATATATTATTTTGTAATGTATTAAACTTGTATTATTATTATTATTATTATTTATTTTATTTTATTTTTTTTTTTGGGGGGGGGGGGGGGGGGGGGTCACGGGATCTCTGCACCAGAGCCATGCTCAGCACGAGCTCTTGAAACCCCGCCCTCTGCTGCAGCTCATTTGCATTTAAAGGGCCAGACACATACGGTGCAGTTTTGCAAACCCTCAAAAAGTGACTTTAGTAACTTTAACATGCTATATAAAAATATCTGTGGGGTATTTTGTGCTAAAACATCACACACACACACACACACACTCTGAGGACATGAGAGATTAATTTTACATCTTGTGAAAATGGCATTTACCTTCCCTTTAATTGTTAATCACCCTATAAATCCTTTTGAATGAGCGCCATGATGTTTTGAGAACTGTCAAAGATGCACAAGAATGGAATAATACTCCGACAACTTTAAGGGATTTAGACACATATGCTTTATTTAGGGTTGAAAAATTGGTTAATCAGTACTCAGATTTGTCAGCATTAGAATTTCATATCTGCTAGCCACCCTATTATTGTTCTTATTTTGCTTGATTGTTTTTAATTGATCAAAACTGTTTAAATAGCTTTTTATGGTATTGTGTAATTATTAAAGTTTCTATTATGTATTTTTAATCTTTTTTTTTTTCTTTAGGTTGACTTGTAACATCTTGTCCAGGGGACTACAGATGAAAAATAGCCTTTGGCTAATTCTGGTACATTTACAGGAATGTTTTATTAATGTACAATGTCCCTGTAAAACTAAATTAAAAAAGAAAAAAAAAGAAATAATCCAATTCAGAATCATAAAAGTGAAAAATCTTTAATAGCAAATTTAATAACATTTGTGTGATGTGGAAAACAGTGCTATAAAACTTGTCAGTGCTACTAAGCTATGATTATTAAAGACAATCAGTAGCCTATAAACTGTCAGCCTTTAGTTAAAAAGTTAATGATCAGATGTTCTTCTCCATGGTCAGAATCGTGGCTCTAGTCATCCAGATCATCCACTTCGGGAACTCGGATTGCGTGTGAACCCGGACGAGTTTAAAGCCCAGCTTAAAGTACAGCGCCACGGCTGCTCTCTGCGTAGAAGAGGTGGAGAGCTCGATCTTTGAGAAGCCACGTTCCCTACAGAAGTCTTCGGCAGTTTTAGCCAGCTGTCGACCGAGACCGGTACGGCGGCAGGTGGACGAAACAATCATGCGGTAAATCTCGCCATACTTCTTCCCATCACTTCCCGGGTCATTTTTCCCTTCGACGGCCACCATCCCCAAAATCTGAGGCCGGCCGCTCACCTCAGCTTCGGCAACCCAGAAGCAGTTGTCTGGATTACTGAGGTAGTAACCCGCAATATCTTGCATATCGGTGTTCAGTCTGGCCCGCACGTATCCGGCGTAGAACTCGTGGCAGCAGAAGAGCACGAGACCTATCCAGGCTCCTCCAGACAGCAGGGCCAGAAGCACCGACTGTCCACCCCACACATACGAGCCCATGTAGAAGAACAGGCTCACGGTGATGTGCAGTGGTCGGGTCATGGCGTACAGGAACGCAGGATTGATGTGCTCCTCTATTCCCTCTCGGAAAACTCTTTCCACAGCCTCCCGGTCGGAGGCCTGATAGCGCCGGATCACACTGTGCACTGGTGGAGCAATTACAATACAAGTGGATATCAGCAAAATACAGAAAACAATTTGTGATTTATTTAGTATATAATTTATAGTATATAAAAGTTTATATTTGAAAATAGAGACATTAATATTTTATATATATATATAATATATATATATTAGGGCTGTCAAACCAAAATAAAAGTTTGCGTTTACATAATATATGTGGGTGCACTGTGTATAATTATATATATACACACACACATGCTTGTATATATTTAAGAAATATTTTCAAGTATATGCTGTATATAGATTTATATATAATTTTTATATGTAATATATTTTATATATAAATATTTTTTTTAAAATATACAGTACATGCATGTGTGTGCATTTATATACACAAAATAATTATACACAGTGCACCCACATATATTATGTAAACTTTTATTTTGGATGCAATTAATCGTATATTACACTGTATTTTTTATGTACATTTCTGTAATGCACTTTCTGTAAAGCTGCTTTGAAACTGAATTGAATACATATATTCAATATATTTATATATTATATATATATTCCCTATAGAACAGCGTGAGAACGACACACACACACACACACACACATATATATATATATATATATATATATATATTTAAAAATATATATACATATATATACATTAATATACACGTACATATATATATATATACATAGATACACACATACACACACACATATATATATATATACTTAAAATGACATGCTGGTGAGCTAATGATAAGAGTTTTCACGTTTTGGTGACACTGCAAACAAATCATACAATTAAAAGACGTTTCCTCATATAACAGTGCTGGTGCAGAATAGACAAACAGCCAGAACTGTTCACTACTTACTGTTTAATGAGATTATAATCCTTTATTTCCAATCAGTGTTCCTGTCTGACAAAACCTGCACTGTCGATCACATGATGCGCGCGTGTCAAACTAAGTTATCAGCGGTTTTCTCAGCGGTTCACAAGTTTACAGGATCAGAATATCTCAAATCAGATCAGATTTTTTTTAATAGTTAAAAAAGTGTATAGTTTAATTTGAATGCATAGAAATACCATGGACCACCTGGGTAAAGTTATTATGAATGAGAGTGCCGAGATGGAGATTCCACCCCTCACTCATGTGTTCCTCTGAGGGTCAGTCGCGCAGTTCTGCTGTTATCGCCCTCTAGCGTTACTGGCCGGTTCTGCTGCGCAGTTTGACCGCACTGCTTGTGTTTAATTTGATAATTTTTAAAGTAAAGCATATTTTGCCCTTCATTGTTTAAATATGTTCAATTGACCTCAATAGACTGAAACCGAGGCTTTAATAACCCCTGTTCTGTGGTGTCATAAAGCGTGCTCAGTTTGTCCCCAGCAAAACCACATTGCAGGAATACATTTTCAATTTGGTGTCTCAGTAGAAATTAACTTATAAAAATAAATCTTGAACTAATGGTTCTTGGTGATACCAAATGCAAGGTGAAACTTTTAGATGATTCCTTATCACTTAAATCAGGGCTTTTCAAACTGGGGCCCAGGGAGTGAAAGGGGGTCTATGGAAAAGCTGAGTAAAAATAAATACATAAAATTAAACTAAATACATCAAATTGATTAAAATAAAAATGAATTCAAATAAGCAAATAAAACTTGATTTAAATGCATAAAAAATAATACATATATTACACTGCATTTATTAAAATAAATAAATAAATAAATAAATAAATAAAAATAATATAAAAATGATATAAAACTAGACAAATAACATGGATTAAAATTAAAATTTATTTATTTATGAAATGTATTTAAGTGAATATAATTTGATTTAAATACATGAATAAATAATACATTAATGCATTTTATTACACTGCATTTATTAAAATAAATAAATAAATAAAAATAATATAAAAATGATATAAAACTAAACAAGTAACATGGATTAAAATTAAAATGTATTTATTTATTAAATTAAATTATAATTTATTATTTATTTATTTATTATTTAAGTGAATATAATTTGATTTAAATACATGAATAAATAATACATTGATAATTTTATTACAATGCAATTATTAGGATAAATAAATAAAATACATATTTGATACACCTAAATTTATTAAAAATTATTTAAATAATTATAAATGAAAAATTGATGAACTTAAATTGATTAAAATAAATAAATGAAATTATCTTTAAATTAATACATATTAATTGGGATATGCTGTAGGGATGTCATGATTTAAAAGTTAGGATGGGAGGGTTTGTGCATCTAAAATATTGTGTGATATTGTGTTGACTTCACACTGTGTGGCTTAATCGATGTTTCTGATTGATAATCGGTCGCGCGCTTTAGGACCCGGATGATCGGTCAGTCCAGACACCGGTTGATGATCCGCTCGCGACTCATTCACATCAATGTCTTTTATCAAAGAACAATAAACGCTCGTCTCAGCCGGACAGGTTACACACGCTTATGCTCCAGCGTCAACATTAGTCCTCTTCCTTCTGACAGAGACTGGGCTGAGCCCTGCACATCTGCAGCCCCGGCGAGCTCCTCCTCCACCCAGCCCGCTTCAGGCCACCGGTGACGGGCAGCATGAGCCAGAGGTTCACCGTGACTGCCGGTGACATGCAGGGGGAAGTGAACCAGCTGTTCGAGGGCGATGAGGAGACACCGACACCGAGCTCTGCTGAAGCCTTCGGGAAAGGTGAGAGATATTTAAGATGTTGTTCTGACACCTGTGAAGGATAAACTCATCCAGCAGCAGCTGGGAATATGTGAGACTGGGATATTAATATTCAACACGCCGCCCTCAACCATTAAAGACTCTTTCACTAGCCTACAGTCTATACCTGTTCCATATGATATTGGTTCAGAATGATTTTGTTTTTTTAAATTGTAAGAACAATCCATATAAACTTATCAGATTTTACATCAGACATCTGTAACTCATGTCAGTATGGCATTAAATGCTCTAGTCTAAACCTTATAGCCTACACTCTAAAAAATGCTGGGTTGTTTTAACCCAATTTTGGGTCAAATATGGACAAACCTGAAATGTTGGGTTAAAAATGTAATGTAAAAATTTAACCCAACGGCTGGGTTAGTCCATATTTGACCCAAAGTTGGGTTAAAACAACCCAGCATTTTTTAGAGTGTAGTTTTAATTTTCTACATCATACTTAATGCTTTAATAATGTCCAGTCCAGTGCATATTAATATAATTCAAATACTTCCTTTTTTAAAATATTATTTCATATCACAATTAATGTAGGCTACTCTTTACGATATGAGTGTAGTTTTGATAATATGAATAGGAGTGTAGCCTACTCTCTAAAAATTGCTGGGTTGTTTTAACCCAATTTTGGGTCAAATATGGACTCAGCCATTGGGTTACATTTTTAATTACATTTTTAACCCAATGTTTGGGTTTGTCCATATTTGACCCAAAGTCCGGTTAAAACTACCCAGCCAGCATTTTTAATATTTCTCAGAATATCATAGTTGCAAATCCATATAACACATCTTATCTCTTGGGCATCTATGCAGATAGATATATTTCATACATTATCAAGAAAAGCTTGTTTTAAGAACAAATACCATCAGATTTGGCGTCAAATCGCCCCAATTCTTATTTAAAAAACTGAACTAGTCTTGCAAACCATTTTGTTTTTTTGTTATATATTTTTTTTAATTTTCAAAAAAAAATGCTGAGTTGTTTTAACCCATTTTTTTGGGTCAAATATGGACAAACCCAACCATTGGGTTAAAATGTAATTTAAAAATGTAACCCAATGGGTTAAAACAACCTAGCATTTTTTAGAGTGCATCTATATAGTTCATAGACTAGACTACATTGATTTATATATTAGGCCCTATATGTATTTCATGCAATAATATAGTAATTTTTATATAGGCTACACTCTATCTAAACAATGCTGGGTTGTTTTAACCCAAATTTGGGTCAAATATGGACAAACCCAAACGTTTAAAATTTTAACCCAACTTCAACTTTCACTCTCAACTGTACATTTTTTAACCCAACATTTGAGTTTGTCCATATTTGACCCAAATTTCGGTTGAAACAACCCAGCATTTTTTCAAGTCTATACTTTATTGATTGTATTTGCATTTCATAATGACTTATAAAATCCACATTGCATTGATGTACTTGCTTCAGGATATATGCATTAACTGCACTGAACCATTGCTGGGTTATATTTGTCTATGAAGCTTTTGTATGCAGTGCAAGTGTACATTTACCTTCCCTAAGCTCAAACTGACATATGCTGGGTTCATAATCTGTGTAAACCTTGAGATTTGAGCCTTCTTTGTTTCAGGAAAGAGAATCATGTCACAGGGGGCATTTTTGTGTAAAGTTCCTCATGGTGATGATTTAAAGAATTGATCAGTATGACGATGCTTTTAACAGCACTTGAGAAGCTTGTTGAAATTTACACTGTCTTGCCATGTCCGTTAGCCTTAAGTGGGCATGGTTGTCTGTCTTCACATAATGGCACTTCTGATTATACTTGATGAAGCCTTTGAATATTGAATGAGGCAAAATGTGTTCTAGGCCCAGCAAGCTGTATGACATACAGGAGGTCGTATTCAGCTGTAATCATTAGCCTCTTGATGTTTTCTGTGACGTGATGAATATTAAGCAATTATCTAATTGAATGGACTGGCTTTAATATTACAAGCTGGAAATCACATCAAGACATATTTGATGTTAGTTTTGTGGAGCAGATTTTGAAGCCGTCAGACTTCACTGTGGATGGGGAATTCTTAATTTGAGGTGATGACTGAAATAGAGAATGACCCACTAAATACAGTGTGGATTTGGTGTTTCTTGCCAAAGTTTGCTTGCTAATTAAGGGCTATTAAAAGGCTTTATTTTTTGGAGAAACTGCTTTTTGGAGCAATATGCATTGGAAGAAGTGCAATCATTTTAATACTAGAATTTTTCTATTCAGCTTTACTCCAAATGCTTTTAGTTCTGGACAGGTCTCAGGCCTGTTTACTCCCGCTATTAAATGCGTTTTGGTTTACACCTGGTGTTTTAATCCATCTCTTGTACAGATTCAACCGCTTCTGTCCTGATTTCTTCGAGGGGAGGGTTTATGTGTGTGTTTTTTCAGATCTTTCAATCTAATGTACAAAACAAGCTTGCGCAATTGACCTATGGCTAAGCCCCGCCCCCTCCACTCGCTCAGATATGCATGTCACAGGAGGCAATTGGTGATTTTTGGAGACAGAAAAATTATAATATCATCTCGAAGTCACCTAAAGAGCCTTAACTGTGCATTGGAGGGTTATATTAATCATTTTATTATTGAGAATGTCGATGAAAAGCTTCAGCTTCAACTCCAGGCAAAAATGTAGGCTACATGTCGCAGTGTAAACGTGATAACTCGAATATCGCTGCCATCACCGTTTGGTGCTACAGTATTTACATGAATCATTCAGCACAACATTGTTAACATTTGTTATCACGGTTATTTGCAGATATGTTAAAGGAGTAGTGAACTTTTGAAAAAACTTTTGCTGATAATTTACTCGCCCCCATGTCATCCAAGATGTCCACGTCTTTCTTTCTTCAGTCAAATAGAAATTAAGGTTTTTGATGAAAACATTCCAGGATTTTCTCCATATAATGGACTTCAATGGGGTCCAAACGGTTCAAGGTCCAAATGAGAGTTTCAGTGCAGCTTCAAAGGGCTTTAAACGACACCAGACGATGAATAAGGGTCTTATCTAGCGAAACGATCGCTCATTTAAAAAATAAATAACAGAGTTTAAGTTTTATAAGCACAAATACTCACATTGCTCTGTTCTGTGATGAGCATTCGTGACTCTCCTGTTCGAACTCGTTCATCAAAATGAACGAATCTTTTTTCGAGTCATGACTCGAAGGGTCTTAGATAAGACCCTTATTCATCGTCTGGTGTCGTTTAAAGCCCTTTGAACAGTTTGCAGTTTGCACTGAAACTCTCATTTGGACCTTGAACCGTTTGGACCCCATTGAAGTCCATTATATGGAGAAAATCCTGTTTACAGACTTTGAATATCTTTTAATTAAGTACTTTTTAAAATGTTTCAAATTAATTGTAAGGTAAGATAATAATTGCTAACTACATATAGTTAGCAGAAGACATAACAGATGGTTATTTAATGATTTAATTAAACATTCTTGTGTAGAATGTTCAGTCACTTTCTATTTAGGAGGCTTCCTTAGTAGGTTCCTCTCTAGGTTGAGACATCTCTTCTGATAACTTCACTACCAAACATGTTCGTAATGCATTTATTCATAAATATAGAGCGTGTCTGTCCAAGGAGTGTGTTGGAGGTTTCCATCCATAGAAATGAAGTCGCGCACCTGTAGTCGCCTAGAGACGGTACAGCCTTGGCGCTCGTCTCCGGTTCAAGTCGCCACAACGTTGCCATGACAACTGCAGCCTCTTTGTGTGGTGATTGCTGTGCGCAGAGGGAGTGCTGAATGTGAGGGGTTGAAATGATAATAGTAAAAACACAATGACTGCTCTGCCAAATAATGGTATAATGCCGCTCTATTACAGTGCCTCCTGTGTCCCTGAATTGGGTGAAACGCGAAGGCAATGGCCATTTTCCCACTCTGGGCTCTTTTGGAGAGTGCATGGGTATATATTTGTGAAAGTGTCTCTTTACGGTAAGAAAACGGCAGCTGTGGTTGCCAGAACTTTACCGTTAAAAATACGGTAGGAACCTTAATGGTTTAGTTTTACAGGCTAAACTTAAAATTTACAGTAATAAAATTGTATTTTCTGATAAAATGTGAATCTACCAACTTATTGATATCTGTTTTAGACCATTAATACACTGACAACCAACAATCATCACAGCATCATGAGCAATCACAGCTCATCACAAGTGAATACTTGTATAAAGAATTACTTATTTAAAGAAGCTGCACAGTGTCATTCACACAAACATTAAACACCATCATGGTAACACACATGAAATTAAAAAAATGCAATAAACATTAATTTAACAACATTAAATGTAACATAAAACCCTAATGTACATAACAAAACTATGAGAAACCATAGTTATTTCAATAAAAATACATAAAATGTGAAGTGTCACACAGGGAATTGTGGGGATGTCAATTTACGGTTTTTCACTGTAAATTATACAGTGATTTGTTCTTTTTCACTTTCAAAAACTGTAAATTTACCGGTATTTTACTGTATCACAGTTATTTACAGTGTATAGTACGGAAACTTTCTGTTTACTAAGTAACAGTTTTGCACTGTAGCATTTTTACAGTATTTTACCGTTAAAATCACGGTTATTTTTTACAGTGTGCATAAACAAGACAATATCAAAAAAAAAATCATTTTTGCAGTCAAACCACGTAGATGATATCACAGGAATGCGTATTTCGAGGATGAAGCAATCTGTGGCGTTTTTCATTGATGCTGTTGTTATCGATCTGATTCTGAGAAGACGCTGGGGTGCCACCCAGCCGGAGGTTCGCCTGACCTTCAAGGTCTCCAGACAGTCTGAAGATCTAGACCGACTCTGACCGCTGAACGAAGCTAATAGGGTGATTAAGATGTCCTGGATTTCATGTTTGAATTATTAAATATCTGATTCAAAGTTACCATAGCTTCTTTTTAGTGGTAGGTCAGTCGAGTTATTAGATTACGACTTGGTCAAGAACCT